CCCTCACTGGAGATACTCCAGAACCGTCTGGACACAATCCTGTGCCATGTTCTCTGGGGTGGCCCTGCCGGAGCAGGGGGGTGGGAGCGGACGAGCCACTGTGGCCCCTTCCAGCCTGACCCATCCTGTGGCTCTGTGACCCGGGGTCGCTGTCCCAGCACGGGTGGCTCTAAATAGCCCCGGGAGCCCCTGGGGACCGCAGTGCAGAGCAGCCATTCCCTGAGGGATCCTCCGGGGCAGCCAAGGCCGGGAGGGCTGTGCAGGGAACCGGGACACTCCAGGCACAGCCTCCCCCTGTCCCCATCCCTGTGCCCCCGGTCCCCTCCTTGGGACCTTTGTGTGTGCTTGTGGGCATCTGAGAGACCCGCGTGTTTGTGAGGAATCCTGTGTTCCCAGAACATGTGAAAAACACATTTTACAAGTTGCTGAGGATGCCCTTCCTTGGCCTTGTTGCTGGATTGGGATAGAGCACTGCCTGGATACACCCTCCTGGTTTGTGGGATCCACAGTGACCTTAATGATTTCCCACTGTCTCCTGTTCTCGCTTCCAGGGATGAGTCCAGTGCCAGTGGGATGGGCAGTACCTTGCCAGCAGTAGCAGAAGAGCTTCTGAAAGAGATCAAAAAGGCTTTTCAGGAGACCTCACACGGTATGTAAAGGAAAAGCAGGATGAGCCCAGCAGGCAGTGGCCAGTAATGCCACTGTGAGACCCAGGCAGTGATGAGGGTCTTTGGCCACCCCTTGTTTGCATCCTCTGCAGACCCTGTTGCCTCAGGGATGGGCTTCACCTTTGTATCCCTCTGTGGAGACAACACAAAGGGATGTGAAGCACAGATAATGGGGAGCAGCCCCTTCTCAAAGTCAAATTCAAAAATTAGATTGGTTGGGACACTTCTTTTGAATGTGGTACTTAAGGTAATGCTGCTTCTTAGATCTTCTGGTGGATGTGGTTGCACTTGAGGGACGATAATTTACATCCCTCTATGCAGGAATTTTGCTGTGCCTTCTGTAATGCTGCTTTTAATTTTAATTTCAAAACTGGAGTTGAAAGGGAAGTCTTCATAAACCTGATCCCATTGCTTGACTGACCAGCAGAGGGGGATGTGTTGGTGATCTCAGGGCAAGGAACAAACTTCCCTTTGCTTGAATGAAACAAGCATAAGCCAACAGTGAAATCCTGGCCAATTCCAGCAGCTAGTTAAGAACAATTACCTTCCCTGCACTTTGGATCACTGACTGTTTCTGTAATCTGTGCTAAGAGAGTATTAATGTTTGTGTTTACTTGATAAGTAGCACAGAATGGCTCTTCCTAAGGAAAGTGTCTGTTGAAGGAATATTTTTAACTGCACTAAAAGCAACCAAATAAGCCTTCAGAGAAGTGTGTCTGAGCACTACGTGGGAGTGAGGAATGGGCAGACACTTACTTTCTAAACTGTCAGAGTGACCCCAGTGGCAGCTTTTTGGAACACTTGCAGCATGGCTCCTGTCAGGTTAGAGCAGATCCAAAATCTACACGTGACTTTTAAAAGAGCTTTTTAAATCCTGTTGTAAATTAAGGGAAAAAAAAAGAAGTCAACATTCCTTTGAAGGTGTATTTCTCCTTAAAGCACAATGGTACCAAGGCACACACTGAGACAGAGCTGTGGAAACAAACTGATCAATCACTTTGGAGAATTAAAATAAAGTTGGAAAACTCAAACCGGCAGTGCAAGTCATAGAGGATATTTTTAATTGTTGGAACAAAAGATTTTAAAGTAAAAAAATCCAGATCTTCCAGTGGGATATGGAGACATAGTACATTGTGTCCCATGGGTGATAACAGAAAGATCAGATTGGACAAGCAGAGCCTGAGCTGTTAGTACAACAAACAGACTGGGTTTTTTAAGTGTAACTTTCCAGCTTAACAAGAAGTTCCAATAATTGAAGACATGATGTTTCTGTGTGCTGCATTAAAAGCCATAAACTAGTGGTGCCCTGCAAGTCTGTGCTGGGAAAAGAACAACATTTTTAAAGTTGAGTTCTCAACTCTTGCCAAAAGAATTTCAGGGGAAACAATATATATGTATATTTTTAACCAACTCCTTAAAGTGACAGAGTAATTTGTTGAGGCCCCATGGCTTTTATTGTGTGCTTTTAAAAGTAGGATATCATAAAAGAAAGTACATGTGGGCTTCTGCATTTCTTTTTAAAATTAATCCCTGGGGTTGTGATTGCTGTACTTGGTAAGTGCCTTAGCACTACCATAGCAATAATTTTGCTGCTCCCTGTTGCTTTTTTGGTGGCTAGAGAGGATGGTTAGAGCCCTGCAGTCCTGTGTGGCCTCTGGGGGTACCTTAGGGAGGCACTGGCCTCCCTGTGATACTGTTTCTCACAGTAGGGAAATTCAGCAAAATCACGTTTCCTTTTCTTTTTCTTGCAGTCCCTGATGAGCTGCTGCTGGGGTGAGTATCTTTTGCTTCAATTCTTGTCCCAGGTATCCTGAAAGGGCAGTTGGTGATCAGCTCTCATCACAGCACTGCTGGTTTTCTCCTGTGTTTGACCACGTGCTGCATGAAACGTGTAACTGCTGCGTGGTTTTGCTGGTGCTGGAAATGCAGGTTCAGAGAGACCATCTCAAGGGTTTTTCCAGAAATTCGTGGAATTCTCTCTGTGTCACTACATCTCCTGTAAGAACCTGCTCCAATTTAAACCCAGGATGTTTTAACCTGAGCTCTGAGTCCACCCTCAGATGTGGAATGAGTTTTCTGTGAGAGTGGACTGTGCTTCAGGGTGACTCAGGTCGCTGCATCTCACTGTGTCCCCATCACTGTGAGCACAGCAGCACCCTGAGGTCAGTTGTTCTGAGTCATGGGCACGTGTGATAGAAAGGGAGAAGTGAATGTATCATCTCCCTGCACGAGGGAATTGTTAACCTGAAGATTACCCTGAGAGGTTTCTGCTGTTCTCAGGTCAGTGTAATCACCCTTGTGTTGATTGCAGCTTGTGAACATTTCAGTCGTTCCCAAGCAAGTCTCCTAAGAGATCCAAGTTTCACAACATCAGCCCTCACTAATTGGTGTTGAAGGTGGAGAAAAGGCAGTGTCACAGTGAAAAGAGACTTTTCAGATTTATCTTTAAGTGTGTGTTCCTGCCTACCAGGAGAAGAGATCACCAGGAACCCTTTCAGGCCTTAATCCCTTTGTGTTAAAGTTGTCTTGTGAAAGGTAACACTTGTGAAAGGTGTGCTGGCTCCCCCTCCTGGGACCAAAACGGCCTTTGAAGGGTGGGATTAGATTTGACAAGTCTCTTTTTGTTTCCTTCTCATCACAAAAGAAAAGAGAAATAAAGAAATTCCCATGTTAAGTTTAATAAGGGTCGGGTGGTAACTCTTGGCAGTCAGATTTCCATCAATCCCCTGTAACCACCAGATCTGAAGTATTCTGATTTAATTTCTGAATCTCTTCCAAATCTCTGAAGTCCTTGAAGTCCTGTTAAACTGATCAAATTATATACATGAGAAAAGAACTCCCTAAATTTGAAAGAGTTACTGAAACTCATTAAACTCAGCCCCTTCTAGTCCCAGGCCTAATCATTAAGGAATGTCTTACGTTAAGCGTTCCCCCACCCACCTCCTCAGCCCTCAGATGAAGCCAGTCCTTATTGCCTTGAGTTTGTGCAACTGGAGTTTTGGTCTTCCTGGAATCAGTCTGTCTGCTTGGCTTGTTATCAATGAGCTTGACTCAGAGGTGTAGGTCAGCCTTGCTGGGCTGCCAGGGCTCTGCCTTGGTGTGTCCTCACTGGAGCTGGAAACGTTCCTCCTTCTCCTGCTCATGTTTTGTGCTATCTTTTCATCACTGCTGATTTTCTTCTTGTTTACCCTTGTAACTAATCCAGACTACACAGATTTTTCTCAGCGGATGAAAGGTCTGCAAAGTTAACTGAGTTGCCCCTGAGCAATTTGGAACACGCTCAGAGCAGCTGGATTTG